AAACAACTGCACCTCCCAGTCGCGAACCATTTCAACTCCCCCTCCCATTCCTCAGACGACATGTCCATCCTGGGCCTCCTGCAGTGCCACAACGATGCCACCCGAAGGTTGCAGGAACAGCAACTCATATTCCGCTTGGGAACCCTGCAGCCCAATGGTATCAATGTGGATTTCACAAGTTTCAAAATCTCCCCTCCCCCTACCGCATCCCAAAACCAGTCCAGCTCGTCCCTGCCTCCCTAACCTGTTCTTCCTCCCACCTATCCCCTCCTCCCACCTCAAGCCGCACCTCCATCTCCTACCGACCAACCTCATCCCGCCCCCTTGACCTGTCCGTCCTCCCTGGACTGACCTATCCCCTTCCTAACTCCCTACCTACACTCACCTTTCCTGGCCCCATCCCCGCCTCTTCGACCTGTTTGTTTCCTCTCCACCTATCCTCTCCTCTATCCCTCTTCTATCCGCCTCCCACTCTCTCCCTATTTATTTCGGAACCCCCTTCCCCTCCCCGTTTTCTGATGAAGGGTCTAGGCCCGAAACGTCAGCCTCTCTGCTCCTATGATGCTGCTTGGCCTGCTGTGTTCATCCAGCCCTGCACCTTGTTGTCTCGGATTCTCCAGCATCTGCAGTTCCTACTATCTCTGATTGAAGAAGTAGGCTTCCTTAGCAACTATTCATTCCTCAACCAACATTACTGAAGCAGATTCCTGGTGGTTTATCTACCTGCTGCTTGTGGGATCACTGTATGACATTTAGCTGCTGCTTTTCTGTAGCAATCCCAGTTTAGTCCTTCACCTATCTGCGAGAACCTGGTGAATGCACAATTGTTGACTCTATCATGTGCTTTAATATGGAGTCCCAATGTGTTCAGTTGTCACTTCAATCATTATTTTGTTAAAATTGCATGAGCGAGGGGTTTTACGGCCAAATGTCTCTCCATTTTTTTTCAAGCGGCCTAGTATTGGCAACAGCGGTCTGCATTTACGTAGCACCTTTTTAACAGAGCAAGCCATCCAAGGCACATCACCAGGAGTGATTGTCAGACGAATGTAGACACCAAGCCACCCAAGAAAATATAAGAACAGGCAAAGAGGTTGTAAGATTTAGAGCGAGGGGAGAGGCACAGAGAGGATTCAGTGTGCAGGCAGAAGTGATTCTCAAAATGTCCAGAGAGCCAAAACTGTGGGGAAAGCATTCAAAACGGAGCATTAATTATTTTTAAAAAAAAAGGGTCTGGGCATTTGGTGTGTCAAGGAGTTGCAATTTATGTGGTTCCATAATCCACAACACTCGTTGAGATGTTATTAAGCAATGAAAGAGTTAATGGTTGCCTTCAGTTCTGTGATTACTATTGAGTCACACAAGAGCTTAAATTAAAACTCGCATTAATTCGATCACAGATTAAATCCAGTCCAGTGGACAAAGAAGTCTGTTGAAAGGAAACGAGATATGATGAAATCCAAACAGGAGGCTTTGGAACGGGAAGGAAAGAGAGATAAACCTGCTCCTGAAAGCAGGAATGACGGATCAAACTGTATGCCATTGTCCTCTTGTCACATTTCCCTTTTGTTTGATTTCTTTTGTCTTGAGGCCCATTGTTCCACTTCCTTTTCGTCCCCAGTTCAGTCTGTTCTCTTTCCATTACAAAACACATTCTGTTATTTCGCTACCTTTTTGTTTGGAACAGCTGTAACTGCCACTTTGCCGAGAACGGTGTTTTGACTTGTAGGTTGAATTATTTGAGTTACTTTTTGTTTATGGCAATTATTATTGTCGCCAGAAATCTCCTTTGCACGTCCGTGTTCCACGCAACGCTCCAGCTCCCCCACCCACCCCCCCCCCCCCACCCCCCTCCACTCCCGGTGACTCACGTCGTCTCTCTCTCTCTCTCGCTCTCTCTCTCTCTCTCTCTCATCCGTGAAGAGATGAATCCAATATTCGCTTTTGTTGAGTGCAGAATGGGCTTGTGTGTTCCCGGCAAAAATCCATTTTGCTCGCGTTCTGCTGGACAGCTACAGGCCTACAGAAAACCACGTCTCCGAAAGGTTTGCGACGATGCCTGTAGGGCCGGAGAAAGAAGCATTTTCTTGCTTTAGCCGTTGGGGTTTGTAGAGGTTTCGAAGCAAGGGTCCTTGGCGCACCAGTCTAGCGATAGTTGTTCCAAATGCATAGGGTGAATTCCTCAAATTTAAAGCCCTTTTTCCTCTCTGCTCACGTGGTTAGACACGTGATTTCTCCCTGCCCCCACCTCCTCAGATTCCGTCACTTGTTTAACTTTTCATTTACTTTCCTTTCGAAGGGGTTGAGCTTTGATTTAAAAGTGAACAAATGTTAAATCTTCTGCTTTAACTCTCCACTCCCCTCCCCCCTCCAATGCCTTGCCCTGTAGAATGTCCACACAGCAGCTGGCTTCTTGTATGGAAGTGAATGGAGACGTGATCATGGTCCATGACCAGGTGAAAGTGGAGGAGGTAGAGGAGGAGCGGAGTGGTTATGGATCCCTCAGCATGTCATTTCCCAGCAACCCTCACTCCGATGGGCTTCAGAGCAAGGCAGCGCCCGGGAGAGAGAACTCTGACTTCGAAAGGTCAGGGGTCGTGAAGCCAACGCGGGTAAGTTGCGACCGTGAGCATGCAGCTTCTCGTCAAATCCAACCCGGTGACAGGAGTCCACTCCTAGTGAGGTCCACCCTTCCTCACCCGGGAACGAATGCCTGGTAAAAGGGGAATTGGTCAAATTCCCATAACTTGCGGGCAATCGGCTGGGGCCTTCAAATCAAAAGGAAAAAGCTGGAGCGGGAGACCGTGTACATACATCCCAGTTCTTGCAATCTCACTCAGAACCGGCAGATGCTTTTGTCATTCACTGTCACTCATTCCAGAGTTCACTGCATGGTGGCTGGTGGGGGGAGGTGAATCATAGGATCCCTACAGTGTGGAAGCAGGTCATTCCACCCATCGAGTCCACACGGACCCTCCAAAGAGCATCCACCCAGATGCACCCCCCTACCCTTTCCCTGTAACCCTGCATTTACCCAAGGCTAATCCACCTAGCCTGCACATCCCTGGACACCATGGGCAATTTAGCATGGCCAATCCACCTAACCTTGCACATCTTTGGTTTGTGGGAGGAAACCAGAGCACCCGGAGGAAACCCACACAGACACAGGGAGAATGTGCAAACTCCACACACTGCTGTGAGACAGCAGTGCTAACCACTGAGCCACTGTGCCATCCTGCTCCAAAGTCTCTCTTATAAGTTGATGCAATGCTTTAAGTGGAAATATAAGTTTGCAAAATACACCACTGAAATGAGCCATTCAACCAACTGTTTCGTGGTACTAAAACAAAGTTGCTGGTAAAGCTCAGCAGGTCTGGCAGCATCTGTGAAGGAAAAAACAGAGTTAACGTTTTGGGTCCGGTGACCCTTCCTCGGAACTGTTTATCCTCAAGTTAACCTCTTCTTTGTTTAATGCTGTCAACATCTCCTTCGATTCCATTCTCCCTTACATGTTTATCAAGTTTTCCCTTAATGCACCTATACTGTTTGACTCCCCTATTCCTTGTGGGAGCAGGTTCCACATTTCTCAGTGTTCTGGGTGAAGAGGCATCTCCTGAACTGTTTGGTTTACCAGTGACACATTATATTTATGTTCCCTAGTTCTACTCTTGGCCATAAGTGGAAAAATATTTTTGAAGTCCTATCAAGCCCTGTCATATCTAAAAACCTCTCTGTCGGGTCACTGTTCAGTTTCTTTTCAGACAAAAAGCTCAGTATGTCCAGTCTTTCTTGATATCTCTCTGTTCTGGCGTCATTAAGAAATAATGTTTGCACCATCTCCAGTGCCTCTCAATTCTTCTTGCAACCTGGAGATTAATGCTCTTAAGAGTACTTAAAGTGTATTCTAGCAAAGGTTCCAGCTATGATTCACTTAAAAACACAAAATTGCAGATGCTGGAAGTTGGCAATAAAAACAGGAAATACTGTACATATGATGAGCTGCAGCTATGGGAGAGAAGAGCCTGGAAGATCTTTGAGGTCAATGACATTTCATTACTGTTTACCTTCCTTGAGTGTAAAATGTCATTATTACTTTATCTTCACGTTGTCTGTCAACATCCTTGGGGCTACCTTTGATCAGAATCTCAACAGCATCAACTGCATAAATACAGTGGGTACAAGAGCAGGTCAGAGACTGAAAATCCTTCAGTGAATAACTCCCCATGTCATTTCCCCAAAGCCATTTCGCCATCGACAAGGCACAAGTCGGGAGTGTGATGGAATACTCCCCACTTGACCAGATTGATGCAGCCCCAACAACTCTCGAAGTTTGACACATTCCAGGACAGAGGGAAACGTTTGATGAGATCCCCATCCACTAGCAATGCATAGTAGCAGCAGTGTATACCACTTACAAGATGCACAGCGGCAACTCACCACTCACTCTTCAACAGTACCTTCCAAACTTGCAGTTTCCAGGAGGACAAGGGCAGTGAATGCATGGGGGAACCACCATCAGCTACAGGTTCTCCTGCAACTTGCAGAGCATCCTGACCTCGAACTTTGTCACCATTCCTTCATTGCTGCAGGGTCAAAATCCTGGAACCCCCTCCCTCCCTAACAACATGTGTGTGTGTGCGTGCGCGCGCATCTGTCACTACATGGACTGCAGTGGTTCGAGAATGTGACCCACCACCACCTTTTTAAGGGCAGTTAGGGATTGGCAGTAAATGCTAATCTAGCCAGCGACACACCCATCTCCTGAAAGCGTAAAGAAAAACAATCCAGTGTGGTCAAAAGACTGGAACCATAACATTGTTGTAAGTTGCCTGAGGTTCTTATTTTGTGAATTGCCTTGATGTTTCCTGGATGATGTAGAGAAAGCTGAACGAATAGACCATACCAGGAGCAGATACCTGTATTAGTTGTTCCATTCATCACATCCCCAGTCACCCATCCCTCTCAAGATTTGTGCATTCCCTAGAAACCATATATTGATGTGCTTAATGAGAGAGTAGCAGAGAATTTAGATGGATGTTTAAAGGAAATCCTCTTCTATTGATGAGCAGCTGAAGGTGTTGACAGATTCTTGAAGCCTACTTGAATACATAGGTGTTTGTACCCCATGAATATCAGTGTGCTGATTCTAATGCAATTAACGGCGACTTGAAACAGGTCATGCATTGGGAGGTGACGAAAGGAGTTGTAGAAATATGTGGAGAGCAAGGTGGGAGAGATTAAATGACAGAAAGGATGATGATGCAAGGCAAAAGGATGGGTGACGTGGAGAAAGATAGATTAATCCATCCTTCCACCCTTTCACAGAGCTTCCCTTTTGTACTTTCTCACTTCTCCTTTCTACCCTGCCTCTGTACTTGCTGAAAACTGCTTGCAACCTCTAATTCCTTTTTGTTCCCGCAAAGGTTCATTGACCTGAGCTGTTGGGCAGAACGTTATGGAGGTGATGGGAGTGTCAGCTGTGGCTGGAGAGCCAGCAAGATGCCCCCACCCTCCGAAACAAGGATCAAAGACCCCAAAGGCAGGGGTCAAACTGCCCAACCAGAAGCTGGCTGCTCCTCTGTACCCAGCAGCGCCACCAGGGGAGAAAGAGCTGGTTGTTGCTGGTACTACAAGCACAAGGAGCCTCGAATGGAGTAGAGGTCCAAGGCGCAGGTGAATGATGGTGGGAAGGGAGATGCTGGGGAGAGGCTTGGACGTGGCAGCGAGGGAGATATGGTGTCTCTGAGCAGGACCTTCCTTTTCCATTGCCTATTTCTTGTTCAGGTGCCAAGTGCTTTTTAATGAAGGATACCACCCTGGGAGCCACCAAATAAACATGGCGCAGGTTACCTGTCATGCTCCCTACCCAACCTGCGGCTGTGTTAATACAAAGAGTAGCAGACTGAAGCCCCTGAAGTGGGCATTATTTACTCACTTTGTGGTACTAATTACAGCAATAGGATGGGCCCTTCAGCCAAACTGCTTCATAGTGCTGCCTATGCTCTCACAAGCCTCCTCTTTGTTTAATGCTGTCAACATCTTCTCCTTCTGTTCCATTCTCCTTTACGTGTTTATCTAGGTTGCCCTTCTTGCACCTACACTGTTCAATTCAACTATTCCTTGTGCCTAGCAAGTTTCACATTTCTGTGCCCTGGGTGAAGAGGGTTCTCCTGAACTCCACAGAGATAGTAAGAACTGCTGATGCTGGAGTCTGAGATAGCACAGTGTGGAGCTGGATGAACACAGGAGGCCAGGCAGCATCAGAGGAGCAGGAAAGCTGATGTTTCAGGTCAGGAAAAAATAGAAGGGTCCCGAACCGAAACATCAGCTTTCCTGCTCCTCTGATGCTGCTTGGCCTGCTGTGTTCTTCCAGCTCCACACTGTGCTATCTCCTGAACACCTGGTTGGTTTATTAGTGACTTTATGTCCCCTGTGTTCCAGTCTTTCCCAGTAGTGGAAACACCACCTTGACTTGTACCCTTTCGTATCTTAGACTTCTATCAGGTCACAATTCAATTTTCTTTTCTTTTGAGACAAAAATCCCAGCCTGTCTGGTCTTTGCTGATATCTCTCTATTCTCACGTCATAGTGAAAAGTATTTCTAGCACCACCTCCAGTGCCTCTGTTCTATTTTACATCATGGAGATTAATGCTATTAATATATCTCAAGTGTATTCTAGCAAAGATTCCAGATAGGATTCACATAGATTTAAAACGATGCAGCTGCTGGAAGTCAGAAACAAAATAGGAAATACTGTATAAGCCGAGCTACAACTGTTGACAGAAAAGTTAGTGGGAGCTTATAGGAGTGAGGGGTGTTTCCACAGGCCTTCCTGCTATAGACTTGATCAGGATGAAGGCAAGGAGGTGATAATTTAAATACCACTCCTTTCCCATCCACCACTAAACTCAATGGGACTGGGATGGGATTAGAGCACAAGAGTCAACCCATTAACTCTGATGAAGGGTTATCTAGACTCCATATTAGCTTCCTCTCTCTCTCTCTCTCTCTCTCTCTCTCTCTCTCTCTCTCTCTCTCCACGGATGCTGCCTGACCCGCTGTAATTTCCAGCACTTTTTACTTTCACCCATTAACTCTGTTTCTCTCTCCACGAATGTTGAATGACAGGCTGAGCATTTTCTGGTTGTGTATTTGTAGAAGTTGGATTACTCCTTTTCCTTCCTGTGAATAAGCCAGTTTGAAATACAAAGCATGTACAAATCTTTGCAGCAGAGCATGATTTAAAGGCCAAGGTCCAATAGAAAATAATATTCATCTTCTGTGGCTTTATTTTGATACAATGGATGATCAGTGCTTTGATGAGAAATGTCGAACGCCTGTAAAGTTTTTGTGAGGCAACTCTAGTCTCTGAATCAACAGCTTTCATACATTTTTTTCACCTGTTCGCTGCTAAATAACATCAACTTCACAAGGAGGTAGTAAGAACGGCCGATGCTGGAGTCAGAGATAACACGGTGTGGAGCTGGATGAACACAGCAGGCCAGGCAGCATCAGAGGAGCGGGAAAGTTGACGTTTCGGGTCAGGACCCTTCTTCAGAAATGGTGGAGGGGGGAAAGGAGCTCCGAAATAAATAGAGGCGGGGGGGGGGGGGGGGGGGGGGGGTGGGGGGGGGGGTGGTAGGGGAGGGGAGGGAGGGGGGGGTGGGGATTGGTCCGTGAGGTGGAAGGGGCGGGTAGGTGGGAGAGAAGATGGACAGGTTGTGTCAGGTCAAGGAGGTGGGGATGAGAGGGAGGGTTGGTCATGGGATGAGGCTGGGGATGGGGAGATTTTGAAACTGGTAAAATCCATATTAAGACCATTGGGTTATACGCTTCCAAGGTGGAATATGAGGTGTTGTTCCTCTAGTTTCCAGGTGGCGCCATTGTGACACTGGAGGAGGCCCAGGATGGACATGTCACCCTGGGAGTAGGAGTAGGAGTGGGAGTGGGAGTGGGATGGGGAGTTGAAATGGTTCGTGACTGGAAGGTGGTGTTGTTGTTTGTCGCGAACAGAGCGCAGGTGCTCTACAAAATGGTCTCCGAGCCTCCACTTGGTCTCATCGATGTAGAGAAGGCCACGTCGGGAGCAGCGGAATCAGTAGATCACATTATAATCAGGCAAGCTTTGCTTTTTGGATGAAAGAATATGTCATATTATTAAGACCAAAGAGCATTTTGATCTTAAACACAATATACATGGATAACTAGACACTTTCTCTCTCATCTCTCCCTTTTCCCCCCCGCCTCCCTTTCCCCCCAAGTCCCTTACACTGCTCCTACAATTGTTCTAATGATACAATATTCAAAATATTCTTGGTCCTAATGTTTTTGTACTTCCAGGAAGAAGATGCAACTTTTGTGGAAGTGTCTAACTGGTTTGTGTTAATCCATGTGTGAGACTAATCCATTGGAAGTCTCATCAATTAGTAACATTTACAGTTTGGGTTGTGTCCTATGTTGTTGGTGAATACTATTTGGGGAGGAAGAGAGCTTCAAATTGAACGTATTTCCTCTTCAATAAATCACCTATGAATCTGTTCCTTTTGTTTGTTATTGGGAACCTGGTATTGTATGTGTGTAGTACAGGACACTGTGTCTTGACAAGTGGAAACTAACTGAGTTGTTTTTACATTTACAACCCAGGCTTCATCCTCACCAAGGGACGAGGGGCAACAGGATCACAGTAAATTCACAAATGCATTAAGCAACTTGGAACGAATAGATTTCAGTAAGAATTTAACTGAAGGTGAGTATATTCACAGTCAGAGACCAAGAGCATGAGCTGGATAGCTGATCTAGATCTCTCACCTGTGATTTAAAAACTGATTTGCATTGGGTGTTAGATGATTTGCAGGATGAGTTGCAGGAAAGATGAGCTCTCTCTCGCGTGGTCTCTCTCTCTTTCCTTCCCTCCCTACTGGTTGTTTGATAGACACCAGAGATTAACAATTGGTTAGACAGAGTTCAGGCATATACTTTTCCCGTCAGAGTTTTATTCCACCCAACACATCAGAAAACTTTAAAACACCAATTACACGTTTTCCATTTATGTGTAGGTAAACATATATAAAATATGCACCCAGTTCTTACCCAATTATCCCTTAATTAACACACAATCATTACCTGCTTCCTAGTTTTGATTTGGTCTCTGGTACTCCCTGCCAGGCTCTGTTGGATAATAATGCTGTCTGCACAATTAGTTAGTCAATAGAACAGGGCAGGTGTTTAACTCCCAAGACTTCTACCAGTGCTGCTCTACAACTGGGTGTTAGGAGACTGGCCTTGGATGACCGGTTACCCCTCCTTGCTTTTTGTTCAGCCCTCTCTGTCCTAACTCCCGAGAGACGGTTTGTTGAAGAATCCACAGCTAAGGCAGGCCTTGGTTACACCACCAGTTACAAGCTTGGAGTGTAGAATCAGCTGGTTAGATGTTGGAAGTGGTGGCTGGAGAAGTTCGGACTCTTCTCCTTGGAACTCGGAGCGTTACAAGATGATGTAATGGAAAATTTCCAGATGATGAGAGCTCTGGATAGGAGATAGAGAAAAACTGTTGAATAGAGTGGGGCTATTTTCCCTGGAGCGTCCGAGGCTGAGGGGTGACCTTTATAGACCTTTACAAAATCATGAGGGGCATGGATAGGGTGAATAGTCAAGGCCTTTTCCCCAGGATAGGGGAGTCCAAAACTACAGGGCATAAGTTTAAGGTGAGAGGGGAAAGATTTAAAAGGGACCTGAGGGGCAGCGTCGTCATACAGAGGGTGACGTTCATATGGAACGAGCTGCTAGAGGAAGTGGTGGAGACTGGTACAATTATAACATTTAAAAGGCATCTGGATGGGTACACGAATACGAATGGCTTAGATGCTTGTGGGCCAAACGCTGGCAAATGGGACTAGATTGATTTAGGATATCTGGTCAGCATGGGTGAGTGGATGGAAGGGTCTGTTTCTGTGCTGTATATCTCTGACTCTATTCCCTCTGACAGATGCTGTAAATGTAAAATTGCTGGCAAAGAATTTTTTTTGGATTGTGGATTACTTTATCTGGACACCTAGTTCCATGAATAATTTCAATGGGGTGTCAGACAGGCCCTTGAATTAGGGACTTAGTAAGGACACACTCTCAAAGCTGGGTCCGGAGCTAAATACATTAACTCTTTCAAAAAATCAACACCAGAACACGATGGGACCAATGGATTAAGTTGTAAATTTTAAATCTGAGGTTTATACATGTTTGTTCTCAGTAAGTATTGAGAGACATAGTGCAAAGGCGAGGTATATGATCTTGAGCTACAGAACAGCCATGACTAAGGGTAGAACAATCCTGAGGGACTAAGATGGGCAATTTCAAGACTAGGGGGCACGTTTTTAAGGTGAGAGGAGAGAGGTTTAAAAAAGACATGAGGCAAATTTTTTACACAGCGGGTGGTTTGCATGGGGAATGTACTTCCTAACGAACTGGTGGATGTGGGTACAATTACAATGTTTAAAAGACATTTGGATGAATATATGAATAGGAAAGATCTGGAGGGATAGGGGCCATTTACAGGCATGTGGAACTAGTTTAGTTTGGGATTATGTTCGGCATGGAGCGGTTAGACTGAAGGGTCTGTTTCCGTGCTGTATGACTATGACTCTATAAATGGCCCCATCCCGTTCCTATGTTATTTATTTCCTGTCACAATGGGGGAATACTGAAGGGGTGGTAGCTGAAAGTAAGTGATTTGTTTTGAAGATATACTGGCAGATGACCACGTGGCCCAAGCATTTAATAACTTCAAAGAGGAAGAGACAAGGTAAGAGAGAGAGTATTACACACTCTCCCAGGTCCCCTCCCATGAGGTGCAAACATACTGTGTTTAACAGTAATACATACAATTACCTCCTACCTGATTTCATTTCTATTTGATCTGTAATCTGATCATGTTTAAAATATTTACACAGATTATTGTGATTGTAATTGGAACAAAGCTGCTATCATTGTTTTTGCTTCTAAGTGAGTTAATCCCCTTCAGATAGCAGCTGGAAAAAGTGACATGCTCACTCATGTTTTCTCACACTGTGAAGATTCAACCTGTTTGAATTAGATTGTGGTTCCTAAAGAAATTACTTTGGGAATGATGGCAGCTAAATGTTGAACTCCTCCATTCTAACAACTGGTAATTGTGCTGTGATGGTGATAAGTTTACCTGCCATCTTTTTTGTTTATGATGTTGTTTCTGAAGAAGCGGAGTCTTACTTGACTTGAAACATTACCCCTGTTTCTCTTTTCACAAATGCTGCCAAATCGACTGAGTTTCTCCAGCACTTTTTTTCTGTTTTTTATAAATTTCAAATTTCTAGCATCTGCAGTAAAAACGGTTTGGATTGAATGTGGCTCAGGGGTAGCTCTCTTGCCCTTTGAGCCAGATCAACTGAGTTCAAGGCCTACTCTAAGATTTTCAGAATACAAGCTGACACGAACATTTCATTGCACCCTGAAGGAGTGGGAGATTAATCTTAGGCTCTGTCTGCACTCTATAAAAATCCCATATTACTATTTCAAAGGAGAGTTGCTCCAGTGTCCTGGCCAATATTTATTAAATCACGAAACCAGATTGTCCAGTTATTATTGTTAATTGTATATTAATTATCATTAATTGTAGACAAATGGGTGGCCATTAGCTGGGAATTCACCGGTGCCCCTTATTAATAGACTCAGATTAAAACTCAGTGCTCACTTCGGAGGTACAGGCTTGTAATGTGGAATTTTGTAAATATAAAAGTGTGTAAATTTTGGCTCTACTTTGACCCTTCGCCTAGTTGTTTTTGGGAATAGAACAATTACTTCATTGTGAGAGCTTGCTACATGCAAATTAACTGCAAAATGCTGAAAGCAGTTTGATGGGGGTATCATGGGGAAAAGAAAACTGCATTTGTCTTGCGCTTTGCACAACCTCACAGTTATCAAAAAAAAAGAACTGCAGATGCTGGAAGTTAAAGAGCAAAACAGAAATTGCTGGGGAATCTCATCAGGTCTGGCAGCATCTGTGGAGAGAAAGCAAAGTTTTGTTTTTAAATTTCAAAAGTGTACTTTATTCATAGAAGATATTTTAGTCACAAATGCAGTTTGGTTCTGTTCTGTAGCATAGCAAGGAAACAAACAAACAATGATGTTTGATTGTATGCAAACAAACCAAAGACACCTCTTACACATACAAAGATAGAAAGAACTGCCGATGCTGGAGTCCAAGACAACAGAGAGTGGAGCTGGAGGAACACAGCAGGCCAGGCAGCATCAGAGGAGCAGGAAAGCTGATGTTTCAGGTTGGGACCCTTCTTCCGAAATGGTTTCAGAATTTCTGAAGAAGGGTCCCGACCCAAAATATTCAGCTTTTCTGCTCCTCTGATGCTGCCTGGCCTGCTGTGTTCCTCCAGCTCCACATTGTGTTATCTTGCACAACATACAAGACTATATTTACAATATTTTGGGCCCGGTGACACATCTTCAGAACTGATGGCAGCTGAGAAGAGGTTGGTACATATGCCGTGTGGGGGGGTGGGAGTAAACTGATAGGTGGAGATGGAACCCAGAGAGAGAGAACAGCAATCGACCAGACAAAGGAAGGGGTAAAGGTCTGCCTGGGAGAGTCAATAGCCAGAAGTGGCCGACTATGGGGCATGTATGGCAGTAACCCATGTGATGACAAGAAGTGAGATGTGGGGGTTTGTGGTAAGACATAGGAGGAAGGTACTCTGGGCCCTAAAATTATTGAACTCTGTTTTGAATGCTGCAGGGTCCCCAAGTGGAAAACTTCAATTAGTGCTAGAGATAGTAGGAACTGCAGATGCTGGAGAATCTGAGACAACCAGGTGCAGAGCTGGATGAACACAGCAGGCCAAGCAGCATCGTAGGAGCAAAAAGGGCTGACGTTTCGCGCCTAGACCCTTCATCAGAAATGGGGGAGGGGAAGGGGGTTCTGAAATAAATAGGGAGAGAGGGGAAGGCAGATAGAAGATGGATAGAGGAGAAGATAGGTGGAGAGGAGACAGACATGTCAAAGAAGCGGGGATGGAGCCAGTAAAGGTGAGTGTAGGTGGGGAGGTAGGGAGGAGATAGGTCAGTCCAGGGAGGACGGACAGGTCAAGGGGGCGGGATGAGGTTAGTAGGTAGGAGATGGGGGTGCGGCTTTAGGTGGGAGGAAGAACAGGTTAGGGAGGCGGGGACGAGCTGGGCTGGTTTTGGGATGCGGTATGGGGAGGGGAGATTTTGAAACTTGTGAAATCCTTCCTGCTCCTACGATGCTGCTTGGCCTGCTGTGTTCATCCAGCTCTGCACCTTGTTGTCTCAATTAGTGCTGTCTGTTTTGTGGTGTGGTTATCGAGTCTGTGTTCATGTGCCAGTTTAAAACAGGCTGAACAGGTTCATGGGAGATAGTAAGGACTGCAGATGCTGAAAGTCAGAGTCGATGAAATGTGGAGCTGGAGAAGCACAGCAGGTCAAACTGCATTGGAAGAGCAGGAAAGTCAACATTTCGGGTCTGGACCCTCCACCAGCTCTGATGAAGGGTCCAAACCCAAAGTGTCAACTTTCCTGCTCCTCCGATGCTGTCTGACGTGCTGTGCTTCTCCAGCTCCACATTTCATTGACTCTGAATAAATTAATGGGTATCTGTCTGCTCATTCTCTGTACTCACCTTGGTCCCTTTATCTCTCATAATTGTTTTCTTCGTGCCATTATTTTTCGCCGTAACAAAGGCCTATGAACACTGACAGGCGTGGCACCTTTAGGGCAATTACTTAAGAATGCCAAGAACTTAACTCCAAAGCAGCGCACATTTTGTTCGCTTATTCTCATTTGTATTGTCTTTTGTGGTCACCCTTCTTTTAAGTCAGCATCTTTCTGTGTCTGTCCACTATTTAGAAGGTACATGTTCTTTAGACCTCTCCTTTACTGTTCATTCCAGTAGCCACCTAATCCAGTTTCCCATCTGCTTCACCTGTAATCCAGTCTCTAGTTACCTATGTGATTCTGAATGTGACCATACACAGACTTTGAGACTGGTGACTGTTTGCCTAATGCTCAGCAAACGAGATACCTGCTGGAGGTTGAGAGTTCTGCATGGGCCAAGGCTGATGCAAAGAAGAAACAGAAAATAGGTGGAGGAGGAGGCCATTCAGCCCCTCCAGCTTGCTGCACCACTCAACATGATGGCTGATCGTCCAACAATTCCGTCTTTTGCCCCATACTCATTGATCCCTTTTGCCCTAAGAACATGGGAGGTTGAAGGGCCCTGTGTAGCTGTTGTACTGCAAGGTGGTTGATTCAAATCCTAGCCCATTATAGAGAAGCCTTCACCGTCACTGAGATCGCTTGGATTTTGCCAAATGCACAAAACTCGATGCCACTGAAAATGCGATGCCACTATAATTTAGTAGCAACATCTCTAAGGAATACAGAGCCTAGTGGGCCACTCCTGAATAAGTATTGCACAGGCCTTTGTGCAGTGAATGAGATCAGTGATGTGCAATATCCCTCAGGAATTCCAATGACTTCCAGCACGTGCAGCGTGACATGTGCTTTAAGATGCTCTGGTACTGCCATTTCACGTTACAAAGCCGTAGGGAAGGTGATTTCCAAGTGATAAAGATATATATTTTTTAATAGCAGGTCTCTCTTTCTTAAACAATTAAATCAGGACCAGAGGAATAAAGACCAACTTTGAACTGTCTCCGTTCAGTGAAACATATTAAGCTGGTCCACTGGGACTTCTGCTTGGAACGGGGCCAGCTAATGAACAATACCCTGGCAAATCCCTGTGCCTGCATCCTGGTTCTGGTCCTTGACAACATAATACGGACCAGAAGACCTGCTGCCAAACCCTAGCTCCTTTGCAAAGCTCCCAGAGAAATGTAGTATCCAGGGGCTTGAGAAGCACAAAGTGTAATGAGCCCTGGTGCTCACCCAGAGCTCCTTCCTTTAAAAGCCCATAATTCCTTTACAATGTCCCAACAGTCAGGCACTCGATTTACCTACTTTTTTCCCCTCCTCCCTTATCACCAGCCCAGCCTCTCATCCATGTCGGAGAGTCTTAGTTACCGTTGATCCCTGGTAGCTTTGTCTAACTGTTTGTCGCTCTGTCTTCCTGCAGTCATGCCGAATATTGAGAAGTTGCTGTCCAATGATTGGAAAGACAAGCTGCTGGAGAAATGCTCCTTGAGTAGCAAGGATATCAAAGGTACAGTCTCGGTGAATATCACCAACAGTTTGCAGTTGCGATAGTGCACTGCTCTAGTGTGGACGTTGCCTATTTCCTGTGTCCAATCTGTTTAACTCTGCTGTGTGCAGTCACTCCAACTGTTTGTGCTTGCATACTCCTTTTCACCAGTGAAGGCTCTAGGGGGGGAAAAATAATAACGTTTTGATACGTTTCTGGAGGATGCCACTCTCGGCTGGAGAGAGGAATCTGAGCACGTTCTAAGTCAAACATTCTGACAGTAGATTCCTACAAAGACAAACACTAGACACTGGAACTGCACCACAGCCTGGCAGTGTCATAGACAAGGTGCTGTTATGTTGTATCTTTGTGAGAAAAACAGAGCTTTGTCACTCTCAAAGACAGAAGTTGCTGGAAAATCTCAGCAGGTCTGGCAACATCCGTGAAGGAAAAAATCAGAGTTAACATTTCAAATCTGAGTTCTGAGGAAGGGTCACAGGATCTGAGATGTTAACTTTGATTTTTTTTCTTCACAGATGCTGCCAGACCTGCTGAGCTTTTCCAGCAACTTCTGCTTTTTTTCCTGATTTACAGCACCAGGAGTTCTTTTGGTTTTTATTCAGAGCTTTGTCAGTCATCGACCTGCACTGGCACGGCTCAATGTAAGCCTGGGGACCTGCACCTCCTCTTTCATTTCGGCATTTTACAGCCTTCTGAACCCAACATTGTGTTCAATAACTTCAAGCAATAAATTCACCCACCACACGAGTAGGCATACCCCTGACACTCGGGTATACACACACACACACACCCTGACTCGTGCACATGTACCCTGACACCCACGTCCATGTACACTTGCACGCACAAACAGACACTTGTGCATCTGTACACTTGCATAGACACTCATGGCCACACGCATGCATGCACCAGTTTTGCCTCCTCTTTGGCGGTGTCAACTTTTGTCTTATTTTTGCCCCCAGACAGCGCATCTAGGCTCACCTTTGCTTCCTCCTCTTGCCCGATTTCCCCCAATCCCTTTGACCCTATAAGATTAACTCTCCTGTCCTTCAGTATTTCCTGTCTTCTGCCCTATCATTCACCTTTTTTCCCTTGTCCCACACATTCCTTACTCAAATCTAATCGCATATTGAATGCTCTCCCAGTTCGGATGAAAGGTCATTGATACGAGAAACCAACACTTTTTCACCCACACTGATGCTGCCTGGCCTGTTGAGTGTTTCCAGCATTTTCTGTTTTTAAAACCAAATTGATCTTCAGGCTAGTCAGCTGTATGTTGTTATTAATCTAATTAAGCATGGCCAAGCATCAATCTCTGTGAAAGATCTGGATAATGCTCAAACCACGACACATCAAGTGAGTCATTGACACCACTGTGCCATTAAAATGACGTTAGTAATTTAGTGCGTAAATCTTGAATTGATGCTGCTGTTTTTCCAGTAATAATTGTATCAGTTTTAGTCACTTTAATCTTTCAGTTTAACTCCATGTTGTAGACATCTAGCTCAAATACAAATTGCAGGAATAAGTCAACACTAGTCTGTGTTCTCCAAAATTATTATTGGACTTTGTAAGAAGCTCATTTCTGCCTTCATCTGATTAATAAATAAATCTTTTTTATCTGTTTTAGCCTGAACTTAACAGCCTAATGCTGATGCTAATTTCCTTATGGTGGCTAGTACCTAATTAATGACAAAAAAATTAATTGCCAGTCTGTGGCAAATAACTTTCTTATATCAGGCACATAAGGGGCAAGGCTTGCCAGAGAAAGTACCTTTGCCATTAAAAGAATATCTACTGTCTCCATCGGCATAATTCTTCTGAAGCGTTACTGGCATCACATATTTTTTCTTTAAGATGCTGATCAATCCCCTGCACTTGCAGAATATCTTTAATTTCTGATTTAAAGTGTTTTAAATTTCATCTTTCTGTAAGATCATCCTGTTTACTGGGACAGCGAATGTTGGTAAAATGATTCCAGATCAAGTTGTCACCTACAGTCAGTCATTTTCCTGGAGGTGTCACCACACAGGTGTCCCCAGGGAGTCGATAACCTAGTGGTATTATTGCTGGACTATTAATCCCGAGACTCTGGGGATCTGGGTTCAAATCTTGCCACTGCAGATGGTGGAATTTGAATTTAATGTTTTTTTTTAAATCTGGAATCTTGAGTCTAATGAGAACCATTGTTGGAAAAGCCCATCTGGTTCACTAATATCCTTTAGGGAAAGAAATCTACCATCCTTGCTATCCAGTGAGACTCTAGGTCCATAGCAATGTGGTGGACTCTTAACTCTCAGTTAAGGATGGGCAATAAATGCTTGTCCACATCAAATGTGGATACTCATAGCTTCACCTTGCCCTGACATTCTTGCCATTGGTTGCTTGACACATTTGTCCCTGTTGGTTTGGCCAATTGGAAGGTGAAATGACTTCTCGTAATCGATTGCTTCTTACCTGACGGAATAGAAAGTGTTTGAAGGAAATAAAAATGAAGTAAAAACCACAATAGGCTCCACACAATGTCTTTTCGTTTGTGGAGACTCCGTGGCATTCCTGAAGAATTGGCAACCTTAGCTCCCAAGTGCCTTGGAACAGATGACAATGTCAAAGTGACTTTGAAAGGGCAGCTGTTGTGTGTGTGTTTTCTTTTATCTCCCAAAAAAACTTGAATAATTCAGTGTTTTGTGTGTTTCCTGCTGGGCCAGGAACGGCGGAGAGTCTGGCAGAGAAGGAGTTGCAGCTGTTGGTGATGATAAACCAGCTGTCCAGTCTCCGAGAGCAACTGCTGACAGCTCACGCAGAACAGAAGAACATGGCGGCCATGTTGTTTGAGAAACAGCAGCAACAGATGGAACTGGCTCGACAACAACAGGACCAGGTAGATGGAAAAAGAACGAGGCAGTGATTAGAGATTGGCATGGCCTCAGTAAAAGTCAGAAGTAGCTCGGACATTACCTTGTCAAAGATTGAATATCTTTGCAAGGCGTTTTTGTTAGTAGGGGGTTTACTGGGGAAGGGGTATGATACAAGTGGGAAAAATGAACTTGAATTACACAGCACTTATCACCTCTCGTGGAAATATCCCAAAAGGCCCCTCAATCCATTAATTACCTGGAAGTGTGTTGACTTTGAAGGTCATGGATGTAGGTGACGTACTCACGAGCCATCTGGTATGTCCTGGTCTGTCGTTTTTTAGATGCTCCTGTTACATTCGGTGGATGGGAATTTTGTGAGCACACTTTTAACCCACAGACACCAGTGAAATGATTGATCTAGTTCATCAGTCCTTGCTTAAGGCAGGATTTCTGACTGGAAGAATTTCCACTCCCCTTTTTTTTAAAAATGTGTCCATCTTGCCCCTTCTTTCATTCTAACTCTCTCCTCCCTGCCATCTCACTCGCTTTTTTTCCCTCCTGTTCACTCTTTCTTGTTCTCTTTCTCTTTATTTCTCTCTCTCTGTCTACCACATTACATCTTTACTGTTTTGTATATCTCTTTCCTGCTTCATGTGGGTTTTAAAATAATAATTTTCCATCATTGTGCCTTTCAATTAAGCAACTTGACCATATAGCTTCACCCAGTTTATAGCTGATGGTGCTGTTAATCCAACCCCAGGAACTCTTGATGAGACACAGATGTGACATCCCAATCTCACCTCCACCAGGTTCGAGTCTCGCTGCAGAACTTCACCAAAAAAGGTGCATCATTACCAGGGCAAACAAGTTGATTATCGATCTGTAAATCCAATGTTTGCCAATGCAAGAAGGAAATTAAAGCAGAAATTGCTGGAGAGATTCTGGCAGCATCTGCGGAGAGAAAGCACAGTTAACTTTTTGAGTGCAGTGACCCTTCAGAACTGAGCAGGTAACTTCCTGGCCAGCCTGATCCTTGTGCTATTGCAGGGCAACACACGCCCACGTGAAAAGGCTTGTGCCCAGTTTCATGGCATGTTGGCACAGTGGTTAGCACTGCTGCCTCTCAGCACCCAGGTTCGATTCCAGCCTTGGGCACTCTCTGTATGGAGTTTACACGTTCTCCCAGTGTCTGTGTACATTTCTTCCGGGTGCTTCGGTTTCCTTCCACAATTCAAAGATGTGCAGATTCGGTGGACTGGCCATGCTAAATTGGCCATAGTGCCCAGGGTGGGTCTGGGTGTGATGCTCTTTACAGGATTGGTGTGGACTTGATGGGCAGAGTGGCCTGCTTCCACGCTGTAGAGATTCTATGAGCAAACGTTGTCTTCATTCTTAAGGATTGCCCCACAATACTCCCACACAAGCTGTCTCCCACACTCCTCCTGTCTCTGTCTCTAACCCCTGTTTGACACTCTCACCTTCTCTGTTTCTCTCCCTCTCTCCCTCTGTCCCTTTGCCCCTCTCTACTGTCTCTCTAGCCTCCCCATCTTTCTCCCCACGTCCCTCTTTCTCTGTCTCTCTGCTCCCTATCTCCCTCCATCTCTCTCCCCCGTCTCTCTCTTCCCCCCCCCCCCCCCCCCGTCTCTCTCTTCACAGCCCCTGTCTCTCCCTCTCTCTCTCTTTCACCCCCACCCTGTGTCTCTCTCTGCCCACCCCCCTCTCTGTCTCTCTTTCCCTCTGCCCCCACTCTGTTTTTCTCCCCCTCCCTCTCTCTGTCTCTCTTCCTGCCTTCGTCTGTCTCTCTTCCCCCCAACTCTGTCTCTCACACCCCTTCCTGTCTCTCCCCCCCCACTCTGTGTCACACCCCCCCACCATCTCTCTCTGTGCCCCTGTCCCCCCACCTTTGTGTGTCTCTCCCTCTCCCCTTCTCCGTGCCTCTCTTTCCCTCTCTGCATTCCTCTCTCCCTCTCATTTGCATCCAATACAAATATAAAACGTAGTTTTTGTATCAGCAAAAAGTTAGAGTTTATTCCAAAATGTAAATTGATAAATGCAGATTCCCTAGGATCCAGACTTTTTGTAATTGCTCAATAGGGTAAACTTTATTTCAAGTTTCCGTTAGATAAAACTGCTGCAGTTATTACAGATCATTTAATACAAATGCAAAATGTTGGAAATCTGCAAAGTTTAAAAAAAAATTGACATCCTCAAGAATTATCTATGAAGAGAGTGAAACCCATTACCTTCCTCTTTGCCTTGCACTATCATCCCTTTGATTAAAATTTAATCAACCTCGTTCTCCACCCTTTTCACAGATCCTCCATTATGGTCTTTCCCTATCTCTGAACCCCTCGAAACCCCATTTTCCCTGTCTCCAGACTTTCTTTAAACCTGTTACTTCTCTAATTAAACAGATGACAGCCCTGTGATAACTGTTGCTGTCTCTTCACAGATCCTGCCTGACCTGCTGAGCATTTCCAGCATTTTGTACATCAGATATCATTACCCCTCATGTCATCGAACAATCCACTCCATACCAGGAGCAACTCCAGAATAAATGAGCTTCCCACAAATATCTTTCTTTTGGATTTTACATTATTGACAGCTGTTTTGTTGCTTTCAGTTTTCACCCCCCCCCCCCGGATAATGACCTAAAATATAATCCTTGTTGTTATGAACATCTGTGAGTGTTTCTATTAATATCTGTCCTTCTGTTTCACTTTCCAAAACATCACTGCTGTACAAAATCGCTACTGCGTTCGTCAATTTGAATTTAGACAAATCACAGACTGAAAATAGACCTGCCGTACATGCACGCACACATTCCTGACACGCGCATGGACACTCCCGACACACACATACCTCCTACGCACGCACACCCCATGCATGCCCGTCCATAAACCTGTCACCCGCAGTAAAAATCCCTTCATACCCACAATCAACCTTCTCTGGACTGCTTTCAATACCAGTATAAGGGGACCAAGTCTGTTTTCTGGCTGTGGTGTGACTAGTTCCTTGTATAGTTGGATTATTGAAGGGTTGCTGTTTTTGGGAGCTTGCTGTGCACATATTGGTTGTTGTCTTTCGTACATTGCAACAGTGACTATGCTTGGGGGAGGGGGGATGTCAGTAATTATTTGTTTGTAAAGTACCTTTGGACTCCAGAGATTTTTGAAAGGTTATAAAACCAAACTGGCAGTCTTCCTCTTTGTTACCCAGGACATTAAGTTAATAGAGATTTCTGAACTGAACTTAATTTATGTTCAGAGTGTTCAGAAAGGAGCTACTCCAATTCCACATTGATGAGGAGTCGAGCACAGAAATGGGATATGAGCAAAGGACCGGCTTCCTCTCAGTCATTCTAACAGCATTGTAAATTAACATCATTGTTTGTTCCTAATGACAGATAGCCAGGCAGCAACAGCAACTCATTCAACAACAACACAAAATTAACCTCCTGCAACAGCAGATCCAGGTAAGGGCAAGTGCTAAACATGAGAGGCCTGGCTTTTTGTTGCTGAGATATGGAGGAGGAATCTCTTTTCAGAGGGTAGTCAGGGTTTGGAATTCTCTCACTCTTCCCCAAGCAAGCAGTGGAAGACACATTTTATTCCAGCCTGAACTGATTTCTGGTTTCCTCCCACAGTCCAAAGATGTGCAGGTTAGGGTGGATTGGCCACGCCAAATTGCCGCATAGTGCCCAGGGATGCGCAGGCTGGGTGGGTTAGCCATGGGAAATGCAGGGTTACAGGGACAAGGTGAGATGCTCTTCAGAGAGTCAGGTTGGACTCGATGGGCTGAATGGTGCACTCCCACACTGTAGGGATCCTACGATTGATACAAGAGTTGAGGATACAGGGGACATCCAAGAGAGTGGCGTTCATATCAGATCGGCCATGATCTCATTGACTGGACTTGGGATGCTGTTTATTTTTATCCATTCTTGGGATGCGGGCATCTCTGGCGAGGCCAATATTTATTGTTTGACTAATTGCCCCAGAGGGGAGTAAATAGTCAATTACATTCATCACACCAGCTAAAGATGGCAGTTTCCTTCCCTAAAGGCCATTAGATGCATTTTTCCAACAATCAACAAGCTTCATGGTCATCATTGGACTCTTAATGCCAGATTTTTTTGTTGGATTCAAATTCCACCATCTGGTGGGATTCGAACCTGGGTCCCCAGAACTTCACCTGGATTAATAGTCTAGCAATACAGCAAACTGTTTATTAACCAGCACCTATAAGACCAGGAGTGTACCTGTTGATCAAATATTCTGGATAATTGAGAGGTCCACATAATCAACAATAAAACACGCAGTAAATAATGGAAATATAATACAGGGAGTATGCATATTACCCTTATACTTTATTGTTTAAGTGATTTATGCTGTAAATAATACAACATTGCCTTAAATAAAACTTACCAGCAGAAAGCCTTCTCACTTGCACAATCAACAGACTGCTTCTGATAATACAGTAAATATATAGTATTTGAGGTATACAATTTTTGGCTTGCTTGTCGAGAGGACTAGTTCATTAATGTGCTGGTTAAAACAAAGTTGACTGTAATACCACTAGGTCATCACCTCCCCTGACCCCTGTCACGGTCTTTATATTGAAAAAAAGTATTTTAGTCCCTGATCTTAGACTGTGCTTTACACATAGATACACGTGACTGCAATAGACTCACATAAAACTCTCTGCACATATTTTTTATTCATGATTACAAAGTTAAATTTCTATTTTGCTTTTGGCCTTCATACTCAGCTTAGATTTTTGATGGTAATAGTTCAGCTGGCTACTTTTTAAGGCTGGCTTTTGAAATGTCTTACTCTATACTGAGATAGTTTGGTGGGTGGAGGACTGTCGGGACAAATGAATGGCTGTCTGTTGTAAATAAAGTTGCTGGTTAATGTAGAAATTTAATTCTAATCATTTCAGCCATCTGTGGAGCAGATTTACTGATAACTGATTTTAAAAAAACTGAAAGAACTGTAGATGCTGGAAATCCGAAACAAAAACAGAAATTGCGACAAACTCTCAGCAGATCTGGCAGTATCCGTGGACAGAAATCAGCTTGGGTCAAGTGACCCTTCCTCAGAACTGATAGTAGCTAGAAAAATGTCGCTTTATATGTAGAAGACTGGATGGGGGTAATGGGGAGGGGATAAGGAGCTGATAACAAGGCCTGGTGTGTGGGCCTTGGGGAAAGGACATGGGAGAGCTCAAGCCCTAAAATTGTTGAACTCGATATTAAGTCCAGAAGGCTGCAGGGTCCTCAAGCAGAAAATACACTCCCACAAACCAGGCCTTGTTATCACATAGAGATAGTAGGAACTGCTGATGCTGGTCTGAGATAACAAGGTGTAGAGCTGGATGAATACAGCAGACCAGGCAGCATCAGAGGAGCAGGAAAGCTGACGTTTCAGGTGTGGACCTTTCCCCAGACCCGAAACGTCAGCTTTCCTGCTCCTCTGATGCTGCCTGGCCTGCTGTGTTCATCCAGCTGTACACCTTGTTATCTCTTGTTTTCACACAGTCTGCTGTTACACACAACCCATTGTTAGCCACTAACAATCCCCATTAATAGATATTCACCCTGCTAGCCAGATCGTTATCCACTCCTTTGTTTGTCCAACTGTCCTTCTCTGTCTTTGGGCTGTATCACCACCTATCGTTTACCCCTTACCCCGTCTCCCCCACCACCACCCTATCTTATACATATAAACCAACATTTTCCTAGTTATCATCAGTTCTGAGGAAGGGTCACTTGACCCAAGTTGTTAAAGCTGATTTCTGTCCACAGATGCTGCCAAACCTTGTGAGCTTTTCTAGCAATCTCTGTTTTTGTTTTTGATTTATGATGTGATAGCCACACCATGCATTGTCTACAACTAAGTCAAATGATTGTGGGTCAGAGCCTAAAAGGAGCCAAAGCTGCATTTAATTGTAAAGAAATGTTTACTGTATTCTGCTCGGATGTTTACAGAGTTGAGCAATGTTCACTTTTTCATGATAGTTAGGAGTGGGGGAATCTTGTCTTACAGCTGTACTTTACCTCTGTCAACACATTTTCTCTTTCTGTTTCTTTTAGCAAGTCAACCTGCCTTTTGTGATGATTCCAGCATTTCCCCACAGTCCACAGCCTCTTCCAGTCACCAGTGATCCCCAGCTGGGTCTTCAAATGCAGCCAGGACTGTCATGCAAGCCAAGTACGTTCCCTACGATCTCATGTAGAGCTGTACGTTTAGGGTGAAGGCACTGCAATCTGCCTGGAGGTTTGGCTCTTGCAAGAGATCTCAGCCATAGTGTGTGCACAGTTATCTGTCCTCACTCACTCACATCCTTTAAATCGGGATGGTTACCTTGGCTGCCAGGAATCGCTATGTCAGCCATGGACTGAACTAACCAACTGAACAACCAAGTTTCTCTTCATCTAACCTCTCTCTCCCGTTCTCCCTTTCTCTCTTTGCAAGAATACAGATTCTTCTTGTACATTAGACTCTGGTTATTAGAGCACTTGTTTCAGAAGTGCAAAATTACAAAATCATGAGAATAATTTTTACTCATTCATGGGGTATGGGCATATCTGGCTGGGCCAGCATTTATTGCTCTTTCTCTTCACTGCCCTGGAGAAGATGATGGTGAGCTGCTGCCTTGAACCACTGTAGTCCGTGCGCTGTAGGGGCACCCACTGAGTGATTGGGATTCGAGATGCAGGACTCAGTGATATACTTACAAGTCAGGGTCATCTCTGTTTGGCAGAGAACCTGCCAGTTTTGGTGCTTCCAGCTAGTGGGACAGAGGATGCAGGGACAAGTCAATAATTAGGTGACATAGATTGGCATAAGGATTAGAGGGGAGTTCAGGAGAACGTTTTCAGCCAGAGCAGAATGAGGATCTGGAAATTATTACGAAAGGGTGAAGGAGCCTGAACCAAGAGACCCTAAGGTGCAAGTTCATAGTTCCTTGAATTTGGAGTTGCAGGAAGACTGTAGTGAAGAAGGTGTTTTGTACACTTGCCTTTATTGGTCAGTGCATTGAGTATAAGAGTTGGGAGGTCATGTTGTGGCTGTACAGGACATTGAGGTCACTATTGGAATACTGCATTCAGTTCTGGTCTCCCTGCTATAGGAAGAATGTTGTGAAACTCGAAAGGATTCAGAAAAGATTGACAAGGATGTTGCCAGGGTTGGAAGATTTTAGCCACAGGGAGAGGCTGAATAGACTGGGGCTATTTTCCCTGGAGCATCAGAGGCTGAAGGGTGACCTTATAGAGGTTTATAAAATCATGAGGGGTTGGATAGGGTGAATAGCCAAGATCTTTTCCCAGGGGTGGGTGAGTCCAAAACTAGAGGGCATTGTTTTAAGGGGAGAGATACAAAAAGACCCCAAGGGGCAGAGGGTGGTGTGTGTATGGAAGGAGCTGCCAGAGAAAGTGGTGGAGGCTGGTACAATTACAACATTTAAAAGGCATCTGGATGGCTACATGAATAGGAAAGGTTCAGAGATATATGGGCCAAATGCTGGCAAATGGGACTGGATTAACTTAGCGTATCTAGTTATCATGGACTAGTTGGACTGAAGGGTCTGTTTCTGAGCTGTCCAGCTCTGTGATTCTAAGAAGTACTTAAGCTGCCCACTGCCATAACCTGCAAGGCTACAGACCGAGAGCTATAAAGCGGGATTGGGTTGGATTTTTGGCTGGCAGAGGCACGATTAGCCTCTTTCTGTGTCCTAGATCAAGAGAGGAATATCAGCAATGATTCTTGGCTGTTATCTGGTGACTGGTGCGGACAATTGGGATATTATCTGAGGATGGGATTGTACAGTTTGAAATAATCAAACAGGCTTAAACTGGCCCATTAATGAAGTATCGGGTGCAGTCATTTCTTTCAAATGAGATTTCAAATGCACACCTTTTGAAAGGGAAGAAAATTGAAGTGAAGAAAGGGGAGAAACTTGATGGTTTTTATTTGTATAGTGAGCAGTGGTCTGTTATCTCCATATCCATCTCGGTTATATTCAGTGGGAGTGGTAGGCTTGCAGATGCGGGTTTGAGTTGTTTAGTTCAGGACCCACAGCAGTGAAAGAATGTCTCCTGTATCTCCTAGGGACTGGAGTAAGAAGAAGACTAATGTTACAACATTTAAAGTTGCAGCTTTTTCTACTTATATGGTTGTTCCCTCCACATCCCCAGGTGACTATGGACTACAGCTGATGCCAACCCCCCCAGCAGCCAGGGGAACTCCAGGATTAAGCCCTGCCCATACACACGTGAGTCCAGTAGGTAATCCATGCTGTAATTGAAGTTGGATAACATGGAATTCATCTCTGGAGTTTGCAAAGTTTAAAATTATCAAGAAAAATTTGTGCCACGTAACGCATTTCCCTTCCACACTGCAACAACAGCAGCAATTTGCATTGATTGGTCTTTAACAGAGTACAATGCCCCAGAATACTTCACAAGATTGCACTGAAGAATCTTCACTTGGAGGGGCCAAACGATCTGGCTTGCGGTGAAGTTTCGTAACAAACATCACAGTGGATCATGCAAAACTAAAATAAGGAAACTAGGCTTTTCAAGCAATCGTAATTAATGCCCCCCCCCCCCCAAAAAAAACCGAAAGAACTGCGGATGCTGGAAATCAGCAACAAAAACAGAAATTGCTTGAAAAACTCCGAGGTCCGGCAGCATCTTTTGCAGAGAAAGCAGAGTTTACGTTTCGGGTCCAGTGACCGTTCTTGAGACCTGCTGAGTTTTTCAAGCAATTTCTGTTTTTGTTATTGTTAACTCCCCATTCACTAAAGAGGAGTGAAATCTAGTTTCATCTCCCTAAATTCCTACTTCACGTCCTCCTTCCAGTACTGATACAGTGTGAAGTTAAGAAATCCTGTTCCATGCCTTGGATGGATTGTTAAATTAGACCAGTGTTTGAATAGACAGGAAAGATTCAGGAAGCATAGGAGGAGCAGAATTCCCATCCCTAATGGTAATGTTAGACCATAAACAAAATAAAATGTCCAGTCTATTTACTTTGTGGGTCAGTGCTGCATTAGAATGGCTGAGCAGTCTTTTCTAAATAACGGTCACAACAGTTCATGTACAATTAAGTGATATTTCCCACTGCTCATGTGTACAGTGGACTTTGTGTTCCTTTGTTATTGAAGAGAATTCTTCACATAGATCAATGCCTCAGGCAATGTTGTTTACATGAAACCCTAATTAAAACGTCATGGGAACTATCTCCATGTGAGTAAATTGCTTTCATCTCTAGACATTTGAATAGAAACACAAGGTTGCATTGTAGTTGTTATTTGTGTTAATTCATAGTTTAATCTGCGGTTTTGTTTTGAGTCATGATTTCTACCCTATGATTTTCAAGTATGGAAGAGGTTAACTACTTCCTCTCTCTCAATTTCATTTAAAGAAAATAAAATATCTCCCGTTAAATGCAATCCTGTGTTTGGGCAGTACTTGCTGAACAATCTTGTGAAACCGTAAGAGATGATTCAAGATAATCAGTCCTTTTGAGGCTTATTTATACTGAATGCAAGTGACATACATTGATTATACAGGGACCCCATCTCTACAGACAAAAGGAATATTTTCGAGTCTTGCAGCTTTTTCAAATTATCCAGGAGCTTGGTAAGCCTAGAGTGTCTTGATGGTGTCACCACTAACTGGGGTAATTCACTGAAATTCAAATTCCCCTATTCACGGAGTCATCACAAAAACCCCAAGTAAGATTTTGAATGCTAATGCACACAAATTCTCCTCAACTCTCTGTGGATTTACATCCCAGCTGCTTCCAGAAAGTTCTATTGCACTTGGCCTGTTGTTGTAGTCTGGATACTCATAATCATCTATGTTATATGTGAAATAATTGATACATTGGCTTTAATCAAGGGAAAATTGAATAGAATTTGTGATTAGAGAGATGTTCTCAACTTCAGAGAGAATTTATTAAAGAAAGTGTTTTTATTCTGACTTTGACATTTTTCACCTCCAGTACATTTGTGGGAAAGGTTGTGACTTTGTTGCAAAGTCACATTTAATTCTCTCTTCCTCTTTTAAGGAGGAAGCCTCTCAGCCATTGAATTTGACAGCGAAAACTAAAGGTACAGACATGTCAAAATCCCCCTCACCTCCCCAGGCCAAACTCAGAAGAGGACCCTCGCCATCCAGCTTTGTGATCCCAGCAGAGTTACAGTCCAGCACACCGACATCCTTGTTAACCAGAGGTAAGGGGAGATTTGTACAACTCTACATTATTCAGCTCCTGTTGATGATTGCATATTGGGGCAGCCTGGAGAGCAATCTGCTCCTGTCCATGGGACCATTGCTGACGAATGAGGAACATTCAACTAGTCACTTTGTCTCTGGTGGTATGGTTAAAAGGCCTGTCAACATCATTAGGCTAACACATGACGAAGAGTCCCCACAGTGTGGAAAGAGGCCGTTCAGCCTATTGACTCTGACTCTGAATCGACCCTCCAAAGAGCATCCCAACCAGATCTACCCTATCTCATTAAACCTGCATTTCCCATGGCCAATCCACCTATCCTGCACATCTTCAGACTGTGGGAGGAAACCAGAGCACCCGGAGGAAACCCCCACAGACACGGGGAGAACGTGCAAACTCCAAACAGCCCGAGGCTGGAATTGAACCAGGGTCCCCTGCGCTGTGGCACGGCAGTGCTAACCACTGAGCTACCCCAGGTACTAAAAGGGTGACCGTCACTGCTTGTAGAACCCATGTTCCAACATAATCCCGTGTCTAAGCAACATCGGCCAGCTCTTGTTTCTTAAATTTGCTTTTGGCCAACTTTTACCCTTTGACATTCCTTGCTCTTTCATCCGATCTTGCATACCTCAAAAAGGTCCACTTCTTCTTTCATAATACTTAATTGCCCTTAAAAACTCTTTGCGCCAAACAGGATAAAGTTATTACAATAATTCAATTTAAACAAAACATGTGTTTCAAATAGCTGCATAATCAATTATTCAAATTCCATTCTCTGCGACAGAAGACAAGAAGAGAGCATAAGAAACTGAATGTAACCTTTCAGAAGGACAGTCTTCTGGACCGACTTCATCATCCAAGTTAATTAGTACAAAATCTTCCGTTATAAAGTAGCTCCTGCAGACTGCACATGTTCTACCGGCTTGTTCAAAACTTTGGCTTTGTAACGCATATTTTGAGATGTATTTACACAAATAATATTGCCTTCCTGTGTGAAGTTGCAGGTTTGAAGTGTTCATAGCGGGATGTAAAACAGAAGTAGAAACAGAAAATACTGGACAGACTCAGCAGGTCTGGTTGCAACTGTGGAGAGAGAAACAGAATTAACATTTCGAGTTCCAATATTACCCTTTTGAGGGGAGAGTTGGAAAAGTGATGGGGTTATTTTTTGCTGTAGAAAAAAGTGGGGAGGAACAAAGAGGGGGCTGGGGAAGATTTAGAGGGTGAGGGAGATGAGAGATCACTGATAATTAAAAACAAAAGGCAAGGGGAATCATTGTTGGGGGAGGGGCGGGGGGGAGGGGAGGAAAAGAGAGAGAGAGAGTCAGAGAAGGTGTTAATAACAGAATATAGGTCAGCTGTGCTGAAAGCAAAACTAAGAAAAGTTGGCAGACACAGGGAAAACACAATGGAGGACAGAGTTCATGGCTTGAAGTTGCTGAGCTACATGTTGAGTCCAGAAATAGTAAAGGGAATGGGGGGAAAAGCTGAGGATTGGCACTTGGTCATAATACTCTTTTAACAAGATGATACAGGCACAATGGGCCGATTGGCCTCCTGCACCATAATCCTACAGTGAAACATCTGTAGCGTACACAAATGGAAAATAAAATGCCACTCCTTGTGCATTGGACTTTAATGGAATATTGCAATCAAACTAGGACAGAAATGTGAGCAAAGTACAGTGAAGGTTAGTTTTATAGAGGGCAGTCTCAGAAGTTTTGACTTGAAGGGTTGTGCTTCACAAATTTTCAGTTAACTGCACAGAGTTGAAATAGGAAATCCCTCATTAGACATCTGCATATACCGAGGTGCTTCACTGTCATAAATGTCTTGTAGATCACGTACCCTCATTCACAGGATCTCCATTTCCTTAATGATCCCAGTCCTGATCAAAGATAACAAGGTGTAGAGCTGGATGAACACAGCAGGCCAAGCAGCATCCGAGGAGCAGGAAGGCTGACGTTTCGGGCCTAGACCCTTCTTGTCCTGATCATCATCATTTCCTTTGAGACATCAAAAATCTCACTTTTACAATTTCTCCAAAGTTGCGTTTTCTTATCTAACCAAAATCTAAAGGTTTGTAGCATTTTAATGAATCTACCACTGGTCAACTTCTATTCATTCACATTCTTGGCTATCTCATCTGCTGTCTAGTGAACTCCCACATAACCTCTAAGTTCGGTCTTTCATTTGTATTGTATTTGCTCTATGCTTGCTGTGCTGGATTGGTTAAGCCTGGGTGCTGACTCACCTAAACTAAACAACTAGCCCAGAAGCTGTCATGAGAAGCTACAGCTGAGATAAGCACGAGTACAGGCATTTTGGGTTCACAGATATTTCAAATACTTTAAGTGTTGCACAATCAGAAACTAATCTCGCCTGTGTTGCTCTGAAACATATAAAATATACAACCAACCAGTGAAATACAATAGCCTTCACACAACCAGAAGTGATAACGCAGTGTCACCATCACTGGACTAGTAATCTAGCAGCCCAGGGTAAAGCTCTCAACACAATTCCCACCATGATATCGGATGGAATTTAAGCTCCATAAAAACTGGAATTCAAGGCTAGTTTCACTAATGGCAACCATTATCACTTGTTGTAAAACCCCATCTGGTTCACTCATGCCTTTTAGTGAAGGATAGTTGCCATCTTATCCGGTCTGTGGTTGACTCTTAACAGCCCCCGAAATGGCCTTGCAAACTTTGTCTTCTCATGCCAGTCAGCATGCATTGGCGTATCGGAGATGGAACATCCTCTATGTAGGAGATCTCAATCATTGATCCACATTCCATTGCTTTGTGCACTTTGAAATTGCCACTAATAGAAGGAGAGATGATTTTCTCAATGCAATGCTTATAATTAATTGGGTAAACCTGTTCCTTTATCATTGTTTGTTAGCCATTGTGCACAGGGGGCACCCCCCACAGAAAGTTACTGATGCACATGATTAAAAACATCAGCTATTTCTTTAAACCCATTCATAGACTTTGTTTCCAAATCATTGCACAAGCCTGTGTTGCCACTTTCAACCGTGCTAAAGGCAGATGTGTCTATCATTGACCAACACTTAGCAATGGGTAGCTGCGTCTTTGTACCTGACTGAAGTGGTGATATGTTGGTGGGGATGAGGTCAGATCTCTGTGTTTCATAGGGTACTAACTCTCCTTTTCAACTGCCTTTCTTCAATAGAAATGATAAGTAAAGAAGTTTTCTGGAGGAATCACTGGGGTCAGTAACTGTTCATTTTTATGTTTTAACCTGCCTTTTAAAGCCAATTGGATAGAACACTTTATGTTGTTGCTTATTCTGTTGATAAATTGGAGATGTAGCAAGCTCCCCTAGCAGGCAGACAAAGATCTCCTGTCCAAACTTTGTCTAGTAAGCAAGCAATCATTAACACTGACTGCCGTGTTGTCTGAGGCTCTTTGTGCTATTGCTTAGCAATGGGGTAGCTTTGCTTTGCTGTTTCTTTAGACTGCTGCAGTGCAGGCCCTATTTGGTCTCGTGGTGGAGGAAAACCTGTGCAATAAAAAGAGGCTCTTGTCATGAGCATGTTAGCAAACTCACTACAACTCATTACAGTCCTGCTGTAATCGACATTGTTTCAGCTGCTATGAGGAAGACCTGGATGGTAGTTTTTATCCTTTTAAGATCCTGGGCTGTTCCCTCACTGGATGTGGTGCCATCGTAGCAGGGTGATGCTGAAAGCAATCTTCCTTGTTAATTCTTCCAGATCCTCAAACCCTGATATCACAAAGACCTGAGGGTGCAATGTGTGCATTGAACCAAAGGAATTTGAAATGAATATTTCACATCTATCTTCACGCAGGAGAAGGAAGATGTAGGGTCAGAATTTGGGGAGGAGGACTGTGAGGTTTATGAGCAGATTGACATAGGGAGTGAAGAGCGTAGGAAGTAGAGGGGTGACCTTTATAGAGATTTATAAAACCATGAGGGGCATAGATAAAGAGATTAGTAAAGGTCTTTTCCTTAGAGTGGAGGAGTTCAAAACTAGAGGGCATAATTTTAAGGTGAGAAGAGAAAGATTTTAAAAGGGACCTGAGGGGCAATTTTCACACAGTCTCTAGTTGAAATGAACTGTCAGAGGAAGTGATAGGTGCTGGTGCAGTTACAACATTTAAAAGTCATTTGGACAGGTTCGTGACTAGGAAAGGTTTAGAGGGATATGGGCCAAACACAGGCAAGTGGGACTAGTTTAACATGGGAAACTCGGTTAGCATGGTCGAGGTGGACCGAAAAGTCTGTTTCCATGCTGTGTGACACTGTGACTCTGATTGTATTCTTGAACAATTCTTCCTTGGACTTTAGCCACTTCAGGTCCCTCAGCTCATTCTGCAATTTGCCTTATTTTTGCTGAATGACTCATTGTGAAAGGTTACTTCTGTAATTGATGAGAAATTTTCTTTGTCACTCTTTCTTACTGATAATCATGATGAAAACTGTGTTTGTTCTTTCATGGCATTCTAAGTTATTGTGATATTTTCAATTTTAACTCTCTTTAAAAGGAATTACTTCTTGAAATGTGTGCTTCACTGGCAAAGCTAGCATTTATTCTCCTTCCCTGACTTGCATTGAGAAACTGGTTGAGTGGCCGCCTTCATGAGCCACTGGTAGTAATGTTGATGCAGCTCAATGTTGTGATTTGGGTGTCTTGAGAATCAGTTGATCGTCAACTCCCTACTGGTATGGGACTAGAGTCACAAACTACCTAGACTGGGTAATGACTGCTGGTTCCCATCACTGTCTCTAAAGGGCATTGGTAAACAATTGGCCTTTTCCAACAATCCAGTGGGTTTGTGGTCACATTTATCAGTACTAACTTGCAGATATTTTATCGTAAACTTAAGTTTAATTCAAATTCTCAAACAGCCATGGAGAGATTTGAACAGCCTTCTCTGTATTATAATTCCAGGCCACTAGTTCAGTAAAATGAACAGTACATTACCAAATCTTGGCAACCTTTCTCTTGCCACTCCAATTTTTTTTTCGTTCACTGGATTTGGCTGTCTCTGGCTAGGCCAGCATTTATTATTATCCCTTATATAGTTTATCCCTAATTGCCCAGAGGGCAGTTAAGAGTCAACCACATTACTGTGGGTCTGGAGTCACATGTAGGCCAGACCAGGTAAGGATGGCAGATTCCTTCCCTTGGTTTTTCCTGACAATTGACAATGGATTCGTGGTTATCATTAGACACTCAATCGCAGATTTTTGTTGAATTCAAAATCTATCATCTGCCATGGCAGTATTCAGATCCAGGTCCCCAGAACATTACCTGGGTCACTGGGTTAGCAGTCCAACAACGAAACGACTAGGCCATCACCTCCCCTTAATTCCTCTCAACCTTCCCAATGTCCCTTTCTGATGGCATGCTTCCAACTGGTATGGATCCACAGGAGTCAAGAAGCCCACCGGCATATTGGCAGAAGTGCTCATTTTTGTCACAGAAGACAATGCAGGAGAGTGCTCTGACTGAACCTGATTTTGTTCGTAACCACTTTCCTGCATGTCTCGCTGAGTAATACTCTGGTGTATTTCTTCACCAGGAATATCCTTCCCTCCTACCTTGACCGAAACCAATCTTTCACTTGACTTCCAGAAACCTCAATCTCTGAAGCTGTTGTTGATGAGTGAGGCTATTTCTCCCCTGTTCTAAAATGTTTACTTTTTATGTTGATGGCATGAAAAGTCTGGCCATGAATTGCCTCCTGATTCAACGTTTGCTCTGTCTTGTGCCCTCCAGGTTATCCCATTGAGCAGGACGTCATCGGGAAGGTCATGCAGAGTCCAAAGCAGATCTTTCTTGGGAAGAGTCGGTCTGTGGATGGTCCAGCTGTAAATAATAGCAGGAAGGACAAGGTCAGTGTTAGTGAAGTTTGATTGTTCAAATCTCATGCCTTCAGTCGTTAATCAACAATGTGCTAAACTCTTTACCCAAGGAGTGAAACTCGTTGACTTATAGAGTCATAGAGATGTACAGCACAGAAACAGATCTTTCCGAAAAACTCATCCATGCCAACCGGGTACCCTAAGGTAATCTAGTCCCATTTGCCAGAATTTGGCCCATATCTCTCTAAACCGCAACTATTCGTGTACCCATCCAGATGCCTTGTAAATGTTATAACTGTACCAGCCTCCACCACTTCCTCTGCCCTTTCATTCCATACACACATCACTGTCTGCATGAAAACGCTGCCCCTTAGGTCCCTTTTAAATCTTTCCCCTTTCACATTAAACTATGCTGTATAGTTTTATACTCCCCTATCCTGGGAAGAAGACCTTGGCTGTTCATCCGATCTGTGACCCTCATGGATTTATAAATCTCTAGAAGGTCACCCCTCAGCTTCTGATGCTCCCAGGAAAATAGCCCCAGCCTATTCAGCCTCACCCTATAACTCACACCCTCCAGTCCCTGCAACATCTTTGTAAATCTTTTCCGTACCCTTTCAAATTTAACAACATCTTTCCCATAGCAGGGAGACCAAAATTGGTGTTTGTTCATTCTCTGATGGAATGTATTGTGTGTTGCTATCAACATCAGCGTTTGGTGCCCAACCCTACTAACCCTTGAACTGAGTGTCTTCCTGGGGCCATTTCAGAGTACGGTAAAGAGTCAGCCATTTTGCTGTGAGTCTGGAGTTACATGTAGACAAGACCAGGGAAGGAAATCTCTTGTTCTTGTCTAATGGGCATTGGTCACGAGATGATAACATTACTGCCATGGTTACCATTACCAAGACTAGTTTAAAATTCCAGATGTGTTAATTTACATTCTTCAATTGGCAATGGGGTGACAAGGCCATCTGAGTCTTACTTGATCAGGAGTTGAGCAAGGTTCACTTACAAGAGTCAATGGTCCAAGGCAAGCTGGGTAGCAAGGTCCCGACCCTACACCCTCCAGCCCGCCCTCCATTACCATCAAACTCGTAACTGTGGGGCAGAGCAGTAAATTCCACCCAGTATTTTTAAAGCGTGTATTAGTAGAGATGAGCAAGAAAGAGAGGCTGAGAGACTTCGGGCCCAGGGAGCTGAAGAGGTGACTGCCAAAGGTTGAGCAGTTAAAGTCAGGCAGAGGAAAATAAAACTGGGAAAGCACCCAGCGGTCCCTGTATAATGACTTACGCCACGGTATCTGAGCATTGCTTTTCAATTTTCCTTCTCCAAATGCTTTTTCTGGTTTCCCAAGGCACAGGGTGTCGGCTTTACACTTACAAATGATTCCTATTGCTTATACAACTGCTGAAGGGAAAATAAACTGGTTTTCTTTGGGCATAGAGCTGGCTTTTACTGCAAAGAACAGACAGAGCCCCTGAGCTGATGAAAATCTTTAACGGCTTGTCCCTGTCTTGTTCGCACACCCATGCTGCGAGCCAATCACATTGTTGTTGGCAGGCAGCAGGCCTTTTGGCTCAATAACTTGTCTGTAGCTCCCAGATCAATCAGCTACTTGTTGTCAGCCAACCATCCATTTGTACACCTCCTTGGCTCCAGCTCGTCTGCACCTTCTCCTATTCCTGTTGGAACCAGCAGCTGTGTAAACAGTGCTTTCAGTGAGTTCCAGGTTACTTACTTACAAAAATATGCAGTAACCCTTGGCTTTAAAACAGTTCTTTCCCATTTCAGTCCATAATCAAAAATACAGGAAAATTTAAAGAAAAGTCCTTATCAGCAATATAAGTATCAGAATGAAAACCAGCAGTCTCCCCTAGACACGGACCTGTTCCTTGAATTATAGGATGCAAGCACAGCGGTACTGCTGCTGGATTCGAGACCCAGGCTAATGCTCTGCTCCTATGATGCTGCTTGGCCTGCTGTGTTCATCCAGCCCTGCACCTTGTTGTCTCGGATTCTCCAGCATCTGCAGTTCCTACTATCTCTAATGCTATGAGGATACAGGGTTTAAATCGCACCAGAGAGATTGGTGGAATTTAAACTTTATTCATAAGAACGTTGCATTTAAAGCTAGATTCAGTGATGGTGGCCGTTAATCAATCATCGAATAAAAACCAAAAGAACTGTGGATGCTGTAAATCAGAATCAAAGACAGAAGTTTCTGGAAAAGCTGACCAGGTCTGGCAGCATCTGTGAAGAGAAATCAGAGTTAAAGTTTTGAGTCCAATGACCCTTCCTCGGTTCACCAGACCCGAAACATTAACTCTGATCTTTTTCTTCACAGATGCTGCCAGACCTGCTGAGCATTTCCAGAAACTTCTGTCTTTGTTCCTGATTAAACAATCATCGATTGTTGTAAAAACCCTATCTGGTTCGCTAATTCACTTTTAAGGAAGGAAACCTACCAATTTTAACTGGTCTGACCTCCATGTGACTCCAGACAAAGTGGTGACTCTTAATAACCCTCTGAAATAGCTTTAGTGAGTCATTCAGTTAACGGCCAATAGGGATGGTCAACAAATACTGGTCTTGTCAGCCAAGCCAATATTCCTTAAATTTAAAAAACAGAAATACAAAAAAAACTCAATGGATTTCCTGTGAGAATATAGGGTTTAAATTTACACAAGTATTTTCTAATGTAAAGATTTTTTTGTTAACAAAATAAATGGTTAAAATCATGAGACGTCAAGTTAATTGTAAGTTGCGTGTCCTCTTCCTAACCTTAAACATATTATGGACGGAGCAATGTTTTTGCCTGAAGGGGTTCTGCTGTGTAATTGTGGCTCCATTGATGGTTTCTCTTTGCTTCGTCCATGCATGCATCACTGTCTTCCTGTTGTAATATGCTGTCACGGTTGACTATTCCTCAAGTTGTTAACTTTAGCCACTGAAAATGTCCTGCTTTTTCAGGATTTGAGAGTTACAGAGTCACCTCTCGTGAAACAGGGAGATGATGGGAAAGCAGCAAGTGGGAATGAAGATTTTAACAGCTGCAATGACTCGGAAGGTGTGTAACACATTAACATTTCTCCCAATAGGAATCACTGAGGTACAGTAGGTTGCCATTTTAATTTGCCTCCAGGCAATGAATGTGCAGTAAAATGGCCGTTTTTTATACCATCTTGATTTGTACATCATCTTAATGTTTCCACCTGAAAAAATGTATTGTTTTTATCACCCTGTCACAATAATAAAAGTCCTCTGGTATTCTGATTCATTCACTAATGTATTTGTTTGCATTAGGAAACCTGACTCTGTCAGGGTCAAAAGGCTACGAGGCGAGAGGCGGCAACAACCATGAGCACATCAAGCGACCAATGAATGCATTCATGGTATGGGCCAAGGATGAGCGAAGGAAGATTCTTCAGACGTACCCAGACATGCACAACTCCAGCATCAGCAAGATTTTGGGTAAGAGAGCAGCCTTGACTCCAGCTGTTTGGAAAATGTAGACATAGCGCAAACATATAGAAGACATTGTTCCTTCCCAGGAAACTGTAAACTTGGAGAATATATGTTATGCTCCAGGGGTTCCAATCAAATGGAGTTCATCTAGACTTCTGTGAAGATGTTGATCATACAATGCCCACTGCCTAGCTTCTTCAGGACCTCGAGAATATGTCCGCGCACCCACCACCTCCCCCCCGCCCCACCTTGAATCGAAAGTTTCACCGAGGGGAATAGAAAGCAGTAATATTTGGAAATGAATGTACCGGTCAGACTGGTATGTACTGTTCATAGGCTGGATTGTCCACTTTGTTGGAATTCAAAACCTATCCAATATGCAATCTTTTCCATTGGGGCTCAGAATCGAACAAAAACAGGTTCTTCCCCAGTTCCTATTCTGATCACTTAATGGGTGTTGTATTCAGTGATGTTGCAGGGGGGTTGGGTTCCAGACAATGAGAGTGTTGGATTGAGTTTCTATTGACATTGGATGTAGACTTGTTAGGTGTTATGTTGTCTGGTTCCTATACATTAGGAATAACTGTTTCAGACTCAGAATGCTGAAACTTCATAAATCGTATTTTTGCAACTCTCTATGTGGCTAAACTAATGTATTGTTTTTGGCTCATGACTACTGCAGCAGTTAATGCAGCACCTTAGGATATATACTCACATTATAATTAGTTCCTCGCTCTTTACAAAAAAACAAATAATAAAACAGAGACAACAAGGTGCAGGGCTGGATGAACACAGCAGGCCAAGCAGCATCATAGGAGCAGAGAGGCTGACGTTTCGGGCCTAGACCCTTCATCAGAAAAGGGGGAGATCTCTCTCCCACTGCACCCACTCTCTCCCTATTTATTTCAAAACCCCCCTTCCCCTCCCCCTTTTCTGATGAAGGGTCTAGGCCCGAAACGTCAGCCTCTCTGCTCCTATGATGCTGCTTGGCCTGCTGTGTTCATCCAGCCCAGCACCTTGTTGTCTCGGATTCTCCAGCATCTGCAGTTCCTACTATCTCTAAATAATAAAACAACAGGGCTAATGCAGTCAGATGACAATTCAGCAACTCTTAGCTTCCAGAGGATGGGTGTGACAGATTTAGCAATAAGAAAGTTGATCCCAATGAAGAAGGAAAGAACTTGCATCCGTGTAGCACCTTTTTATGACCTCAGGATTTCCCAAAGTACTTTACAGGCAATGCGGCAGTCTTGAAGTTTAGCCATTGTTGTCATACAGGAAAGGCAGGAACCAACAGTAAAATCTCTCAAACCAGCAACATTTATGACCAATTTGCGATGTTGAATGTGGATAAATATTGACCAAATCACCAGGGAGAACCACGCTGCTCTTCTTGTGAAATATTGCCATGGAATCTTTTACATTTACCAGAGTGCTTCGATGACATGTAGTTTTAATGTCTCACTTGAAGAAACAGGACCCTCTGACGGTGTTGCACTGGACTGTCAGTTCCTGATTTTTATGCACAGCCTTGTTCAGGGACTCCAATACTGCTCTTTCTACCTTTGGATGAAGAGTGCTAGTAACTGAGTTACGGTTGACACCAAATAAATACAGTAACATGTTACGAGGAAGGTCTTTGTGCTCTGACTGGCTGCAGTGTATATAAGTGATTAGCTAGTGCAATAAATGTTATCATCAGCATCTAATCCATGCTATTTTTAATGGGTGTGAACATTTTTACCCATGGCTTTGAAGGAAGGTATTTGTTTTACTTTGTTTATCTCTGGGTGTAACCTTTCACAGAGACAACACCTCCTCTGCCATGGATACCAAATCTTTCCATTGTCTGACAGAACCAGCCCTGCCAATGTGCTGCTACCGTGAATGAAAGGTTGATCCTTTGTATGAGAAGTACAAAGCCTTGTATTTACATACCTCCTTCATACACCTTTCAATAACATTGCAAAGTGCTCCAGGGGCGATAATTAACTTTGAAGAGGAGTGATTCCTGTTGGACAGGCAAATCTGTCAGCCATTATAAACGAAGTATAATCCCACCAAAAGCTGTGACATACATTGTGAGTTTGCTGTGTTTCCCATTGCGATGATTGAGGAACCTAGATGTGCACCTGGTCAATTGAGGGTAGAAGCATCTCTGGACAGGTGCTTGCTGTATGTCAACCATTGGACATGGGTCACACACTCATCCCGAAGCCAGACGCTGTGAGCTTCAGCCGTGTTCCAGAGATCCGAGCACATTGTGTAGGTTGATTGTCCAGTACAGAACTGAGACTTTATTAAGATAAAATCATAGAACATAGAGCATTACAGCGCAGTACAGACCCTTCGGCCCTCGATGTTGCGCCGACCTGTGAAACCAATCTGAAGCCCATCTAACCTAAACTATTCCATTATCATCCATATGTTTATCCAATGACCATTTAAATGCCCTTAAAGTGGGCGAGTCTACTATTTTTGCAGGCAGGGCATTCCACGCCCTTACTACTCTCTGAGTAAAGAACCTACCTCTGACATCTGTCCTATATCTATCACCCTTCAATTTAAAGCTATGTCCCCTCGTGCTAGCCATCACCATCCGAGGAAAAAGGCTCCCACTGTCCACTCTATCTAATCCTCTGATCATCTTGGGTGCCGTCTTTAGATAAGCCATTTATCTGAGACCCAGAGCACCATTTGAAGAGGAGGAAAAAAAATGTTCTGTGCTATGGTCAAGAATATGACCTGTTCATTATTGCCACTGCCATTTGTGGGATCTTGCTGTGTGCAAGTTGACTGCTGCTTTTGCCCACGTCACAACACCGGCAATTCTTCAGAAGTATTCCATCGGCTGTGAAACATCTGAGATGAAGAAAGATGTTATTAAAATATGAGTTCTTCCCTTGGAACGTGGGTCTGTTGGCAATAGCCGAGACTGAGAGGGGATGAGCCCTGGGCTGGGCAATCGTTCTGGTGTAACTGAGCTGAGGTGGGCCACAGAGGATGGAGATGCATCCATTCAGAACAATGAACACCGCCTGCGCAAAGAGAGAGTGCAACATTGAATGATGGAACAAAAAGAGGTGACAGATTAGCAGAATTATCTCCATTCCCAAAAACATTTCTAATAAGTGAAATAACTTCATAACCCAACGGAATATTACAACGGTAATGAACGAATACACAGACAGATCTGTGGAGACATTACGAGCAGGAGTAGGGCTTCTAACCCTTCGAGCTGCTCTGCCGATTAGTAAGATCGTGGCTGATCTGACTATTCCACCATCTCGCCCACTCCCAACAACCTTTTTCCCACATACTAATCACAATCCATCTACCTCAACCTTAAAAATGTTCAAAGACTCAAAAAACTCTCTCCATCTCTGCCTTGAATAGGTGACCCTTTACTTTACAACAGTGACCTCTTTGGTCGATTCTGGCATAAGAACAAACATCCTCTCCACATCCTCCCTTCATGGATCTCAAATGTTTTGGTCAGGCCATCTCTTACTCCTCTAAACCCCTGCTAATACAAACCTAGTTTGACCAACCTTTCATCATAAGCAAACCCACACATTCCAGGTATTAGTCTCATAAATCTTCCCTGAGCCACCTCCAACACATTTACAGCCTGCCTTGGATAAAAAAGTGATGGAGATTAAGAGGACGAGTGGAGACACAATGGCGTTCTATTCATGCTACGGAGCTGGAGGCAATTGCAAATACTCGTCTGTTATTCTCCCTATTGTTCCCTTTCTGCCCTCCAGATTGGGGTTTTCTGTAGAATGGGTCTCTGCTTTTCCTCTCGGTAGAAAAGAGGCAAGCGAAATTTGTATGATTGTCGAGGAATTGCTGTACCTCCGCATTGCCCTGAAAGCAGGAGATGTCTGCAGCAGTAGGAGATACCTGTGCCTTGCAACAAAGGATGATGTGTCTTTATTGCATAGATATGTTACGAGCAATCCCTCTTGCTTGTGCTGGTCTAAGGATTTAATATTGCTCATTGTGAAGAATGAGCCACAGATCAGAGTCAGCAGAAGGGACTCCTACTTAAGAAACAACAAGGGTTTATTGCGTAGTAAAGAACACATCCATTGGTCACATCACACTAATAGAAGCCGTGTCTTTTGAGGGATAATCGGCTAACCTACGTATTTTCAGAGATATTATTACACCGTTCTGGAGCCTGAGGGACTTGAACCTGGGCTGACATGGCTTAGAGGTAGGGACACTACCACTGCACTATAAAAGCCCCCACCAGTCTAACCTAAATTACTTGGTTGTTCACTGCAGAGTGAAAGCTAACAGATGAGGAACTGGCTGACTCCTCCCAAGGTCTGTCACATACACATATATATGACAAGGTGAAACTATACCTATTGACCCTTTCAGGCCAACTGTCATGCCACAGCTGCTCCTTAAGAAAACATATTGCAGGTTCCTAGCAGGGCATCCCCAGACACTGTGAGGAGTAAAAACCTAGATTCTCAAAGCATTACTGTTTGTCTAATTTCCAGCCAAGAAGCTGTCATGCATCAAATGCTGTCTACAATTACTGTTGTAATTTTACATGTGTGGTTTCAGCAGCTGTAAATCCATTAATATTTGCGCAGGGATCAAATAGCTCACTTACAGGTTATAATGCCGTCTCTTGGGTCTAGGCTGAAACCAATCCCTTTAAGTTCTTAAAATCCTAATTAGGAAAACAAATGTATTGCAGAGGAACTGGAGAACGTGACAAAAGAGGCCTTGCTACTATTGTCAGAGATAGTAAGAACTGCCGATGCTGGAGTCCGAGATAACACCGTGTGGAGCTGGAGGAAAACAGCAGGCCAGGCAGCATCGGAGGAGCAGGAACGTTGACGTTTCGGGTCGGGACCCTTCTTCAGAAATGGGGCCATTTCTGAAAAAGGGACCCCGGCCCGAAACGTCAACGTTCCTGCTCCTCCGATGCTGCCTGGCCTGCTG